AAGCTTGCAAGATTCTTCTTGCTAAATCTCTGCACCTCTGCCTCATCTATCTTTGATCCTTCTTTTCGGATTATCGCACACTTTATCTGTTCAAATGTTACATTCACTATATATATAAGTCTTCCACTTAGCTTTCAGACAGCAGTTACGCTAATGCTACTGCATCGTGTCACTTATCTTCTATCAACTTAGTTTTGAGTGACACCAGAAGAAAATAAAAAATGAATACAAGTTCTATAAATTCAAATTAACCAAGGAGCTTAATGTTGATAAATATATCATAACCTCATTAAAACAAAAGTACTCTTTTTATAAAAGTTTTTTCTTTCTATCTTTCTAAAAACACATACCTCTTCGCCATATTTATCATCTGGAACTCCGAATGCAACTGCTTGGGCGATTTCTGGATGAGATAGAAGGACGGCATCCACCTCTATTGGTGATATTTTCTCCCCTTCAAAACAAATCATTTCCATGTAAAAAATGCATAAAACTCTAATATTACTCATACATTTCCATATTCATTTGTTGTATTTCACTTTCCAATATGCATGCCTACCAAAAAAAAAGCTCTAATTTCAATCACATTTAAAAATATGGCATGCCAACATAAAATAAACCATTTAACTTATGCTCCAATTTTATTTATTACCTGACAAATTACACTTAAATACGAAACCCACGGAGTAATGCCACGAGGAAATATTCCACGGCCACTCCGAAAGTTGTTGCCTTATGACTCATAAACATTAATTTGCAACCTTTTTACGTTCCAATACAAATTAAACACCACAAATGTATTCTTTCTTCTTCAAAAAAACATCAAATATCATGTCGATCTTTCTTATGACCATGTAACTTTTTTAATCTCACCATCATCATATAAACTTGTAATTTTTGGGTTAAAATTTTAAACCCTCTAACATTGCAAGTATGTAATGCTGTTTAAGATGCATAAATATGTGGGTGGCATGATAAGTGAGCGGTTGATAAAAGTATAAATATATACCTCCACGGTTAATAAGCTCCTTGATCCGACCCACCAGATGCAAATACCCATCCGAATCAAAAAACCCGGTATCACCAGTGTGGAACCACCCGTATTCAAAGGCAGAAATATTCGCATCAGGGTTATTTTTATACCCTTTGGTAACGTTGGGTCCCCTAATACAAACCTCACCGTTCACATCATTCTTTAGAATCTCACCCTTCTCGCCTAATATTGCCATTTCCTGGCCCACGGGCTTTCCAACGGACCCGGCCCGATGAGGCCCATCTTCGGGTAATGGATTCGTCGACATTAAATGCGACGCTTCCGTCATAGCATAAGCCTCCAAAACCGGTGCCTCAAACGCCTCCTCCAACCGCTCCAATATAACCGGTGCAAGCGAGGCACTACAGCTCCGAATAAACCGGAGCTTCGGGTAAACCGGTTCCGGGGTTTTCAAATGACGCTCCAACAATATTTGGTGTACCGTAGGAACCGCGGTGTACCACGTGGCGTTGTACGTCAACATGTCGCTCCAAAACGAGGAGGCGGAGAACCTCCCCGCCGCCGGGAGCGTCACGGAGGCTCCGGCGGCTAGTGAACTCAGCAACGCGGCGATTAACCCGTGGACGTGGAACAATGGGAGAACGATGACGGTCGAGTCAGACTCAGTGAGTTTGTACACGGACTTGATGTTCTCCACCGACGAGGCCAGGTTGTTCTGCGTCAACGGCACGCCCTTGGGGCGGCTCGTGGTGCCGGAAGTGTGGAGGAACAATGCCACGTCGGCCTCGTCGTTAACGAGTTCGGAAATCGAGGCGGTCGATGACTCGGTGTAACTCAGAGAGAGACTGAGCTCTTCGGCTTCTGCTTCGTCGAGTGAGGCTGTTGATACCGGAATGCTAAGCTTGGAAGCCGCGGCTTGAGCCGGCTCGTTCCCTTCTTTTGATGTTATTAACAGCTTTGACTCCGAGTCGGATAAATAAAACTCGAACTCTTCCGCCGTGTAAGCCGCGTTCAACGGCGCCGCCGTGGCTCGCGCTCGAATAACGGCCAGAAACGTTATAATAAACTGAAAATATTAAAAAAGGATATCGAAATAATAATAGTAAATAAATGAAAGATCAAATAGTTGTTGTTTTCTTTGTGTTCGCAATGAAACAGTGAGGGAGGAGAGGACCTCGACGGTGTTGGGGAAGGTGAGTGCGATGACATCGCCGGGTTTGATGCCGGCGGAGAGGAGGCGTACGGCAGCGCGTTCGACAAGGTGGTGGAGGCGGGAGTGTGTGAGTTGGAATTTGCCTGAGACAGAGACGGCATGGTGGGAAGGGAATATTCCGGCGACGCGGTGGAGCAATCCCGTGAGTGTTGTTGGAGCCTGCATTGTGGTGTGGTTATGATAGGACAGATAAGCATTGGAAATGTGAGAGTGTGATACATATGTATATAACTGATGGTGCCATGTGGTAGGAAGAGGTTACTGTTGCGTAAACATGAAGTGTTCTTGTTCCATACTTAGTTTATTATAGGACAAATATTCTATTCTAGAAAATAACTCTTTTATTCTGTTACACAAAAAAAGTAATTTTTACATAATGCTCTTTTATTGCTCATTATCTTCGTAAATTGATATTATTGTATTATTATAAATTAATATATTATTATATATTTTAATTATGTTTATTGTAATTATTATATGATACTATGCATGCATAGTATTAATGATACATAACAATCATAACCAATAAAAATATCAAAGATAGCATGGTTATTGGAGGAATCATTATTTAATCATTCGTTTGTGTGCCTTCATTCGTTCTTCATTCTCTCAACAACAGTTCACAATCTATTGATTGTCTTCCTCTCTTATTGTATCTTGAAGAGGTCACTACTCTCCTAACCCTAGATCTATATATGAAAATTTGATTAAATTTTAAGATTGAAAGAGTACAATATTTTGATTTTGTCTGACATCATAGAAAAGTGCATTTTTCATAATAGTCACAACTATTACACGAATGTCATGTTATAATAAATCCTTTCTATTTGTCATGAAATATTCTGTTTGAAGTAATACTATTTTATTACTTATAAATAGATGTATTTAAACATGTTCAATTAAAAATGTTTGATTGAATTATTAGTTATTAAAATAATTGGTAAATGTGAAATGGAGTAAATACACTATTTGTATTTTATTTTACTTTTGGAATGCTGTGTAATTATTATTTTTACAACACATAAGATTTGTGAGATTTTTATGTGTAATATAAAAAAAATGTGTAAGTATAATGTTTTTAAAAGAAATGCTAAATTTATGCAAGAATTGAAAAAAAATAATTGGAGTAATAATGTTTACTGAATCGTACAAGTTCTTTTTATGGTTTGAATGAATTAAAGTATATTAGTTAACGGATCTATAACAAATTCCATTTATGTATTAATATTTATTTCATCATTAATCTAAAATTATAGACATAAGTTATTTAAAAAAATATTTAAAAACAAAAATATGTAACATATGGTAACACATATTCAGTATAACTGTTGTTGTATTTATGAATTATTTATTTATTTATCGTTCCTCTTTTTTAAAATCTAAATCTGCAATGATTTATGAATGTATAAATTCTTAAACTTTATAAATATTTACAAGTTATCCACAATTGATTTAAATCTCAGTTATATAATTCAAATAAAACATTTAAAATTATCATTTATTATATTAGTTTTTAATCGTTATTTCTTACTATTGATTTAAGAAATTAAATCATTTATAAGAATAAAAGTTTAATTATTTATTATAATTCTTTTTACACAAAAGTAGTTATTTATTTAATCTATTTCAAACTTAATACATTTATCATATCTAATCATTATAAAAAAAATATTTAATTATAATTTAAATTAATATATACACAATATTTTGACGATTTATTATTATTTATTACTTTAATTATTATTACTAATATTCTAATTTAAAACATAACATATTTATGGTGTGATATATGGGCCAAAATAGGGATGACAACAGGTCAGGTTGGACACAGGCAGTGTCTATTCTCAACCTGACCCGCCGGATAAAATTGTATTTGCTATCCGACCTGCTACCTGCACAGGTACCCGTTTAGAAAATAATTGCAGGTATTTTAAAATCCACGGGTGCCTGCGAATATTTGCAAAAAAAAATATGTTATACATTTTTAAAATAAAATTTAAATAAAATTACAAAAAAAATATAATATAATATAATATAAATTAAAATTTAATTTTAATTAAATTTAACCTAATACAATATACTTTTATTTTATTTTTAATTAAATTTAATTAAAAAATATATAGGTTATTTTTTTTGCGGATAACGGGTACCTGCGGGGCGGGTAGTATACTACCCGTACCCGACTCGTTTAGAAGCGGGTATTAAAATACCCGTTACCCGCGGATAGTAAATATCCGTGAATAGTAACTATTCGCCGCACATTTTATCCACGTATACCCGTGCCTGCATATTTTTTTGTTATCCATAGGCCGAATAGTCAACCGTCCTTCTGTCTATTTCTTTTGTAAATGGTCAAACATATTCAAATGTTAGGTAAACGCTTAAGTTATTGTTGTTGGGCCGTAATTGGACCAGCATTCAAGATATTGTTATTGGGCCAATGGCTTGAGCAATAAACGATTAATAAATTATTAACAGAATAATTAAATATATTGATTAAAGATATTGATAACTGATTTGCAAGGATATGAGTAAATTCAAAAGTAAGTTCGTTTTATTGGACCCATGCTACTTTAATATACTTATAAATAGAAGGTTAAACTAGATGNCCGAAAGTTGTTGCCTTATGACTCATAAACATTAATTTGCAACCTTTTTACGTTCCAATACAAATTAAACACCACAAATGTATTCTTTCTTCTTCAAAAAAACATCAAATATCATGTCGATCTTTCTTATGACCATGTAACTTTTTTAATCTCACCATCATCATATAAACTTGTAATTTTTGGGTTAAAATTTTAAACCCTCTAACATTGCAAGTATGTAATGCTGTTTAAGATGCATAAATATGTGGGTGGCATGATAAGTGAGCGGTTGATAAAAGTATAAATATATACCTCCACGGTTAATAAGCTCCTTGATCCGACCCACCAGATGCAAATACCCATCCGAATCAAAAAACCCGGTATCACCAGTGTGGAACCACCCGTATTCAAAGGCAGAAATATTCGCATCAGGGTTATTTTTATACCCTTTGGTAACGTTGGGTCCCCTAATACAAACCTCACCGTTCACATCATTCTTTAGAATCTCACCCTTCTCGCCTAATATTGCCATTTCCTGGCCCACGGGCTTTCCAACGGACCCGGCCCGATGAGGCCCATCTTCGGGTAATGGATTCGTCGACATTAAATGCGACGCTTCCGTCATAGCATAAGCCTCCAAAACCGGTGCCTCAAACGCCTCCTCCAACCGCTCCAATATAACCGGTGCAAGCGAGGCACTACAGCTCCGAATAAACCGGAGCTTCGGGTAAACCGGTTCCGGGGTTTTCAAATGACGCTCCAACAATATTTGGTGTACCGTAGGAACCGCGGTGTACCACGTGGCGTTGTACGTCAACATGTCGCTCCAAAACGAGGAGGCGGAGAACCTCCCCGCCGCCGGGAGCGTCACGGAGGCTCCGGCGGCTAGTGAACTCAGCAACGCGGCGATTAACCCGTGGACGTGGAACAATGGGAGAACGATGACGGTCGAGTCAGACTCAGTGAGTTTGTACACGGACTTGATGTTCTCCACCGACGAGGCCAAGTTGTTCTGCGTCAACGGCACGCCCTTGGGGCGGCTCGTGGTGCCGGAAGTGTGGAGGAACAATGCCACGTCGGCCTCGTCGTTAACGAGTTCGGAAATCGAGGCGGTCGATGACTCGGTGTAACTCAGAGAGAGACTGAGCTCTTCGGCTTCTGCTTCGTCGAGTGAGGCTGTTGATACCGGAATGCTAAGCTTGGAAGCCGCGGCTTGAGCCGGCTCGTTCCCTTCTTTTGATGTTATTAACAGCTTTGACTCCGAGTCGGATAAATAAAACTCGAACTCTTCCGCCGTGTAAGCCGCGTTCAACGGCGCCGCCGTGGCTCGCGCTCGAATAACGGCCAGAAACGTTATAATAAACTGAAAATATTAAAAAAGGATATCGAAATAATAATAGTAAATAAATGAAAGATCAAATAGTTGTTGTTTTCTTTGTGTTCGCAATGAAACAGTGAGGGAGGAGAGGACCTCGACGGTGTTGGGGAAGGTGAGTGCGATGACATCGCCGGGTTTGATGCCGGCGGAGAGGAGGCGTACGGCAGCGCGTTCGACAAGGTGGTGGAGGCGGGAGTGTGTGAGTTGGAATTTGCCTGAGACAGAGACGGCATGGTGGGAAGGGAATATTCCGGCGACGCGGTGGAGCAATCCCGTGAGTGTTGTTGGAGACTGCATTGTGGTGTGGTTATGATAGGACAGATAAGCATTGGAAATGTGAGAGTGTGATACATATGTATATAACTGATGGTGCCATGTGGTAGGAAGAGGTTACTGTTGCGTAAACATGAAGTGTTCTTGTTCCATACTTAGTTTATTATAGGACAAATATTCTATTCTAGAAAATAACTCTTTTATTCTGTTACACAAAAAAAGTAATTTTTACATAATGCTCTTTTATTGCTCATTATCTTCGTAAATTGATATTATTGTATTATTATAAATTAATATATTATTATATATTTTAATTATGTTTATTGTAATTATTATATGATACTATGCATGCATAGTATTAATGATACATAACAATCATAACCAATAAAAATATCAAAGATAGCATGGTTATTGGAGGAATCATTATTTAATCATTCGTTTGTGTGCCTTCATTCGTTCTTCATTCTCTCAACAACAGTTCACAATCTATTGATTGTCTTCCTCTCTTATTGTATCTTGAAGAGGTCACTACTCTCCTAACCCTAGATCTATATATGAAAATTTGATTAAATTTTAAGATTGAAAGAGTACAATATTTTGATTTTGTCTGACATCATAGAAAAGTGCATTTTTCATAATAGTCACAACTATTACACGAATGTCATGTTATAATAAATCCTTTCTATTTGTCATGAAATATTCTGTTTGAAGTAATACTATTTTATTACTTATAAATAGATGTATTTAAACATGTTCAATTAAAAATGTTTGATTGAATTATTAGTTATTAAAATAATTGGTAAATGTGAAATGGAGTAAATACACTATTTGTATTTTATTTTACTTTTGGAATGCTGTGTAATTATTATTTTTACAACACATAAGATTTGTGAGATTTTTATGTGTAATATAAAAAAAATGTGTAAGTATAATGTTTTTAAAAGAAATGCTAAATTTATGCAAGAATTGAAAAAAAATAATTGGAGTAATAATGTTTACTGAATCGTACAAGTTCTTTTTATGGTTTGAATGAATTAAAGTATATTAGTTAACGGATCTATAACAAATTCCATTTATGTATTAATATTTATTTCATCATTAATCTAAAATTATAGACATAAGTTATTTAAAAAAATATTTAAAAACAAAAATATGTAACATATGGTAACACATATTCAGTATAACTGTTGTTGTATTTATGAAATATTTATTTATTTATCGTTCCTCTTTTTTAAAATCTAAATCTGCAATGATTTATGAATGTATAAATTCTTAAACTTTATAAATATTTACAAGTTATCCACAATTGATTTAAATCTCAGTTATATAATTCAAATAAAACATTTAAAATTATCATTTATTATATTAGTTTTTAATCGTTATTTCTTACTATTGATTTAAGAAATTAAATCATTTATAAGAATAAAAGTTTAATTATTTATTATAATTCTTTTTACACAAAAGTAGTTATTTATTTAATCTATTTCAAACTTAATACATTTATCATATCTAATCATTATAAAAAAAATATTTAATTATAATTTAAATTAATATATACACAATATTTTGACGATTTATTATTATTTATTACTTTAATTATTATTACTAATATTCTAATTTAAAACATAACATATTTATGGTGTGATATATGGGCCAAAATAGGGATGACAACAGGTCAGGTTGGACACAGGCAGTGTCTATTCTCAACCTGACCCGCCGGATAAAATTGTATTTGCTATCCGACCTGCTACCTGCACAGGTACCCGTTTAGAAAATAATTGCAGGTATTTTAAAATCCACGGGTGCCTGCGAATATTTGCAAAAAAAAATATGTTATACATTTTTAAAATAAAATTTAAATAAAATTACAAAAAAAATATAATATAATATAATATAAATTAAAATTTAATTTTAATTAAATTTAACCTAATACAATATACTTTTATTTTATTTTTAATTAAATTTAATTAAAAAATATATAGGTTATTTTTTTTGCGGATAACGGGTACCTGCGGGGCGGGTAGTATACTACCCGTACCCGACTCGTTTAGAAGCGGGTATTAAAATACCCGTTACCCGCGGATAGTAAATATCCGTGAATAGTAACTATTCGCCGCACATTTTATCCACGTATACCCGTGCCTGCATATTTTTTTGTTATCCATAGGCCGAATAGTCAACCGTCCTTCTGTCTATTTCTTTTGTAAATGGTCAAACATATTCAAATGTTAGGTAAACGCTTAAGTTATTGTTGTTGGGCCGTAATTGGACCAGCATTCAAGATATTGTTATTGGGCCAATGGCTTGAGCAATAAACGATTAATAAATTATTAACAGAATAATTAAATATATTGATTAAAGATATTGATAACTGATTTGCAAGGATATGAGTAAATTCAAAAGTAAGTTCGTTTTATTGGACCCATGCTACTTTAATATACTTATAAATAGAAGGTTAAACTAGATGAATAAGTCTGATTGAGTTTTGATAATTTATAGTAAAAAAAACATCATTAATCAGTGTCAGAGTGACTTTTAAAGGTATACTAACATTACATAATAACAAATACTAATTACATAGAAAACTGTGTTTCATCCTGAAATGTCTCTTTGGAGTAGTATCTATTACATCTTTCTGTTTGATAATGCGATATATCAAAAGGGAATATTAATTTTTTTTCCTTCTTCTCTGTAATTATTGAAGGATAAAGAAAATAAAGAAGTAGAAGATATAAATGAATATGAATATTAGCTTTTGGGCTCTAATATGATTGGTTCGGCTAGGAAGGAATCTAGACATGGTTGGAATGAATATAAAGGAAAAGAACAGAACCAGGAACAAGGAAAGAGAGAGGAATTACCTTATTTTTACCATATGTTTCAAAGAAAAGAGAAACAATTTTTTTAAAATTTAAAAAGAATCCACACGTACGAAATTCCTCCCTAAATAAAACTAAAAATACGAAGAAATTCGTTTGCCTACTCTTTTCAGTATAAAAGATGAATCATTAGTTGGCTGAAAATAAGTTTAAAAAAATAAAGAAATAAAAAACATCTGAGATGCAACTTTACCATTTGAAAAGGAAACTACACATTCTTTATTTTTTCATCAAATAAACAAGTTATATTAGTTTTATCACCTTTTTCATTTCAATCAAACGCATCAACTCAATATCTTTTAAAATTTGTTAAAAATGCTTCTTAATTTTTTTAATAACTTGAAATATAAAAAAATAGTCGTCGTAGCAGAAAAAATCGTACTAGTAGCATTTTTAAACAAGTAATTATAAGAATTTTTTATAAGAATATTAAAAGTTATACAACGGTCAACATAAGAAAATACGATAATGATAATGAACTAGTCATGTATATATGAGTTCGATTAATTAGGGCTTTTACTGACGGGCCTGAAACAAATGAAATGCCCAATTGGATGCAGGGAGATTTATGTGTGACCTTTTCAAAAACTCCTTCAAAAATCATAAGCTGTAACCTTCAATTCTTTAAGGTTGTTACTTCTTACACCCAATCAAATTTCTTTCTCCACCTCATAAAAAAGATTTTTTTTTTCTGTAATGGAAGAGGTGATTGTTTTTCGAAAAAGAATTTCCAAAATTGTTTATTGTATTCCGAAAATTAAATTTAAAAAATAATAGGGTATTGAAAAAGTAACAGTCATTGAGTTTGAAAATTGCAAAAAACACAACATGACATAATCACATCCTTTTTCTATTTATAATCGTTTCAAAAACCCCTTTCTATCTAATTCTTATTTAGAAATCGTTATAATTTATGTGAATAATATATAATATAGTGAAAGTTACACCTTATTAATACAGAGATCCATGTCCGCTTCCAACCACACGTGGTTACCAGGAACCAACCATGTAGGGAGCGTCTTACATTAGAGTACATATTTAGGTGCAAATTCCTTATTACAACCAAAACATAGTGTGACATTCTCAATTCATATGCTACAACAGTATGCTGAGATGCTTAATTGCTACTCTCAATTTCTCTGCGTGTTCCAAGAAATTACAGTTTTTAGTTTGATGATGGGGAAACCGCAGGTTCAATACTACCGAACTGCAGAGAGTGCACAGGTCCTGGTGCCACAATGCCAGAGCTTCTGAGTTCAGCCATTCCTCGACGAGCATTCACACCTTGTACCTCGCACAACTTGGGAAGAAACACACCTGCAACATGAATTTCCTCAACCTCAGACATTAATTTTCTGACCATAACAATGGAACTTAAAAAACAATGTTACATAATGCATAAGTGTTTGTGTACCTTCACCGGCTGCAAGATTGAAGTATAAGTCAACAACGTTGGGGCAGCTTTGGTAGCAGTGAGGGGAACAGAGCTTGTGTGTGAAGGTAGACTCGAGAAGAGAATCTGATGAGATTCCAAGGGATTTTCTGTCCAATCCACAAGCCTTTACGCATTGCTCTGTTTCGATGTGATCCTTCACATTCTCAGCTTCAATCTCTGATGTCTTGCACGTGTATGCCTCCTCACCACTCCTCTTCACGCGCTTCTCCAGCACACACCGTTTCCCAGCAGATGACACAGCGAACGAGCACGTCTCGTGGCTCAGATTCTCGCATTCTATCTCACCTGCATTTTTCAATTACAACATCATGGATTCTCAGCTCAAGAACAATATAATATAATTATCGGTTTTTAAAGTTTGTCTTACTTACCAAGAGTGGCTTGCAGGGTGAGAGAAAATGCAAGGGCAAATATCATGAAAGTCGAGAAGGTGAAGTTAGAGGCCATTATGGGTTAAGGCAGAAGCGTGGCGAAAACTGTGTCGGGAAAATTGAAAATATCTATGTGGTCGGATTGGAGGAATGTTATTGTGAGGGTTTATGGGTGGTGCATTTTATAGTGGGTTTTGTGCCGGAATTATCGGATTTTTTTAATAGGAATTGTGGGTTTTGACGGAAAGTAGTACGTGGAATTCTCAACGTGAATTACGAGTTGGGGGATCATCAAAAGAAGACTACTTTAACTGTTTT